GACAAGATACAAATTATACTTATGAATATTATAATGTATTATTAGTTGACAGTTGTAGTGTTATTGATATTAAAGCACATGCAGTTAAAAATTCCCAAGGGGAACAATGGCCCATTTGCCCCCCGCCTGCGAGTTACATTGAGCTCAAGCGGCAATTGCCACCTGCAGCAGTAAACATTTATAAGGATATAAAACTCAAATAGGTACATATGTATAATATATAATAATATAAGCGGTTCTCAACCTTTTTATATCCTCGTACCACCTACATAGTTTCAACATTTTCAATGTACCACTTGACCGAAGAACCTTGTTTTTACTTTTCAAAAATGTATACATATAAGTATGTAACGAATTTTATTTTGTTAGAAATGCACAAAACTATGAAAAAATAGGCAATTAAATATTAATACACACCAATAAAATGAAATACGTACAATATTATAACTTTAGTTATATTTATTATTGTTATTACTTATTATCAAATAGACAAAATAATATTATTTTTTTAGGGTGACTTTCTTTAAGTGCCACCTGTGATATTTCTGCGTGCCACAGGTTGATACACGCTGCTTTAAACTAAACGTATCCGACGTATCAACTCTTTCACCAGCAATGTTCAATAATTTGATGCAAGCTTGTACCTGATCGGCCCAAATAACCAATGGCAACTATTAACAAATAAAAATAAAATTTCCAATTTCCATCGTGAACCTCGATGTCCCTGTTTGAGCACCTATTTAAAATGCGTATTTTGGCAAATCCTTTCGTGTTGCACATTGAAAATATGAGAAGAACCTCTATTCCAAATTTCAAGTTAGTACTTTGAGGAGTTTTTAAGTTACAGCTATCAGTGACTAAGTGGTATTTGGATTTTTTATGTATAGAAGATAATATTATATAGATTCTCTTCTCCGACAAAAAAAAAATGAAAAATCGGGCGACGTGGTGACACTCAAGAATGTATTTGCACAACTCTGTGAAAAAAAATTGGAAACGTATTAAATATAGAGTAGTCACAAAATTGGAATATAAAAAAGGCCTGTTCTCTTATATATATATATATAACTATATATGGATTATTTTGGTTTGAGAATACTTAAAGTAATGAGAATTGAAGTCTTGGAATCGACCAAAGCACACACACTGTGATTAGTGTGGCGCATCTACAATTGAAACTATTAAAGTGTTATCACAAATTTGTTTTAAATGCTTTTTAACCGGCCCCGCTAAGCGCATAGTCCGCACATAATGTCGTATATGCGTCCAAATGGGTGTCACCGGTTATAATTGCGTATAATTCCCGGCGACTGGTGTACAAAATGACCGGCGTGGTTAATAGGCATCTAAATGACCACATCAAAATATCGGTTGGTATTCCAAAACAATACGTCATGTTTCTAATCGTTTCGTCGAGAGGCAGACGAATACTATACTACTGATGGTAATCACATCACCGTTGTCCGTTTCCCATTTTTATTATAATATATCTATATATTATATACATGTATAACAAATATTTGTTTTTGAAAAGCAATCATTTCGTGTTACTATTTTCAAATACTATTAGGTATGTATTTTTATTCATCATATCAAATTCATAAGATAACGAATATTCTTAAAACAAATTTATGTTTAAATTGACTTCGAGGACTTAGACAAATTGTATTTTAGATACTAAGTAGAGCCACACTAATCACTGTGTGACTTAGCGGGTCTGGTCGCTTCCGCAACATTTCATATTTCTTTAAGAACCTATTCTTAAATTACGAATATGTACACATTACATATCCACCAATATACGTGCTTACCTTTTGTTTAAAGTATATACATACGTGATACGTCATACATTAAACGTTTTAATATTTTATATCCGTATAAATGTTTACTGTAATATCATTATTGCCACTAGTAATTTTATTACGATGGGCGTCCAGTATGGTTAATTGTGATTTTTTAAAGTTAAACTATTTTGTTCAGTTATATCAACTCAGTATGAGAAATCTTGTAAACAATTTTCCACCCTTAAGTATATTGTTATAGCAAACTTTTTATGAACTTTGATATTGAAAATAGACTACATAACAAATACTTAATAGTTGGTACTTTAGTAGTTAATATTACAAATTATAATTATTTATAAATCAAGTATAGAATCTTCTAGATTTATCAACTACAGCCTTTAATGGTATGTATAATAGGCATGTTAAATGATTATCAACTATCATTATTTATTAGATTGTTTCCACTATACACTACTTTTAGAAAAAAAAAACTATTTTTCATGCAATTTTTCAGGAAAAAAAACAGTATTTTTCGTCAAAACCATTTTTTCCTGAAATTTGAAATGAAACCAAATTTTCCCAATTTTCTCGGAAAAAACCCTGGTATTTTCGGAAAACCTTTTTTTTTCGGAAATCTTGATCCCTACTTGTACCTACCATTTTTCAAACTATTGCTCTGTTCAATAAAAAGTTACGTGGCCAGGGAATTACCTTTCTCCGCTTACTTATTGCTCAGTGGATGTGGTATGCCGGTATCAGCAGTCAGCAACATTTAGTTCTCAATATCATAGTGCTACTCGATGTGTCCGGTGCACCAATTTATTTAAAAATAAGTGCTGAATTTCCAATCACGTGATTTTTGATTTTTCCATATTTTTCACATCATCTACCTCACTGCAGATATCACTAAAATTCGCCGTACCGCCCAACATTTAGAGTTATTCAATGATATAGGTACCGTTTTAAAATTTGTACTGAATTTCCTTAGGCTCGTGGTATTGGAGTTTCCGTATTTTATTTCAGAGGGTTCATTGCTTAAACTATAACGTTTATATAGTTTTGAATTAGTTAGAATTAGTGTTTTAAAATTGTACTATTTATAGTATTTTAGAAGTAAATTGTAGGTGGTATAATACTATAATGTATTATGATTAGTTGTTTAAATATATGTAAGTATTGTATAATGAAATTATGAAATTCTAATATATTGTGATGATTTTATACATAAATGTATAATGTACCTATACTATATACTATCAGTCACAAATTAGATAGGTAGCTAAGGAAAATAGGTGCTTAAGGCATACGTATCAGTTCCATAATTTGGATTTATGAATTTGCTACATAGGAATTTAGTAGGTACCTAAATTAAAACAATTTTGTAATGACATGTTGAAATGAAAAAACCAAGAAAATTCTAGAGCCCTTTTACCATTTTGGGGCTCCGGGCTCAGACAGCTTTGTAGACTGTAGATAAGTACTTTTATAATATTATCCTAGTTATTTCAGTCGACTGCGCATGTCTGAATAATATACTGTCATACATTAATTATATAGGGAGTTACAATAAACTTTTTTTTCACATTTTTCATAAGTTATAATTTTTGTTTTCATAAATAAAAACGTAAACTGCAATCAAAGTAATTAAAATAAACTATGCTTACATAGGTACTATAGTGGCTTTTGTTAAGTCACAGAGGAATCCAGTGATTGGGGGTATGGAAAAATAAGTATATAATTACACATATATTATAGACATAGAGTGTAGACAACGAGTGTCAAAATACAATTTTAATATATAATTTTAAAAAAAGAAAAGATTATACACTTGTAGGTATAGAATTTTTTTTTAAAAAAATAATAATTTATATTTTATAATAATATATATTATATTATATATATAGGTACACATCGATATAAATAATAATTGACTAGTATACGTAATTATGTATAATTAATAACAAAACAAAAAATAAAAATAGGATATAATATAATATAATAGTGGGTGGGCATACTGGCAGGGTGTAGTAACCTTAGATTATACCGCTTTGTGGCTGCGACTGATATTATATAATATAAAGCATCACTAGCTAGTATAATATAATATATAATTATTGTATTATAATATGCATGATCAGCAACATGTCGACGATAATATTTTAATAATAACAATCGATATTTTTTTACAACACGATATGAGAGTGATTTTTTACGGAATGTATACAATTATAAACTTTACACAGTAAATAATATTATAATAATATGTCACTATACAATATAATATGCACCCGTACACCACGTTTATTTTAACCATTACAAAATGTCGTGTTTCCGTGTGCGTGCAGTACAATAATATTATATTTTATAATGATGTATGAATGTATGGTAATATAATATAATATTATTGTATATTATTGTATAATATAACGTATGGGTTTTATATTTATAGGTCAACGTGCATATACAATAATACGCAAGCCCTGCGTACTCGTCGTAATAACGCAATATATTATTAATATATTACATTAACATTATACTATTTACGCGACAAGTGCTGGCCATGTGTTTTAACATGTGGATCACGAGAGTCTGGCTTGTGTGATCTCCGCGAGGGTGAAAAAGGTGCTGCACCGGAGCGACGTTCATCGTGTCCAGGGAGGGTTGAGCGATCCATCGTCACTGCCTTGGAATTATTATTTCCAAATTTGTATAATAATAACATACAACATAAACCAATATGTATTATATAAATTATACGTTTTCTCTCTCTCTCTCTCTCGCTGTGTGCTCTGCCCAGTCGATTTGATCGGCAGAAGTTGTGATTGTTATTTAAGTTTTCGTCGTCGCTCAAAACGATATAATATTTTGTACTTTTCACAGTTCCACAACCGAAATTTGATATACGTCTACAACTCATGCGGCGACGAAGAAAATGGTACCAGATTAAAGTAACAATATTACAAAACGACAGCATTAAGATATATTGTTATATCTTACAAGTTGTACAATAAGGGTATACAGATATTCGTATTCGTTCCGATCTAACGACGTCTCACGATAGGCAACCGGAAATGTCTTACGTATATAGATGATACCGTCTTAGTCGACTGCGGTACAAAACATAATATTTATTATATTTTATATAATAATATGGAAAAACATATATTATTATTCACGTTATTATGCGGTAATGATAATGTCATCATTATTTGGTTATTACTGATCGTCTTTTCTCTTTCTCGCCTTGCCCTCCATGTGTATGATTCCCGTGACGTTGTCCACGCACTCGGCCACGGACGGACTGTCTTGCTCAGCACTGTAGTCCATGTCCAGCAGTCGGGACAGCGTCAGTATGTAAGCGCTGGCTATGCGGATCGTCGACAGTTTGGACAGCTTCTGGTTCCGGGAGTACGACGGTATGGTGGCCCTGAGCGTGTCGAATGCTGCGCTGATGGTGTGCACCCGAGACCTTTCCCGGGCGTTCGCCTCGATCCTCCGGGCACGGGACATGTTTTTGCTGTACCTGGTCGTAGCCGTGGTGGTCAACGCTCCGGCGGCCGCTTCTGCGACGGTACATGGGAACGACGACGCCGCCGCCGCCGACGGTGTGGCGTATTCGGCGGCGCTCTCGGCGTCAGCGGTGGTCGTGTCCAAAGCTGAGGCGGTGGCGTCGTCGGCTGGTCTCGTAGCGGGGCGATGGCCTTTTGTCAGGTCCAAGGGTTGCGGTTCTGGCGGCGGCGGCAACGGGGACTGTTCGCCGCGGCGTTGCTGCGTCAGTGTCAGTATCCTGTCCACATTACGTATGTCGTGGAACAGCCGGAGGCCCACGTCCGACGACGACTCGTCGCTGCAGCTCCATGGTCTGAACGGAGGACAGGTGTCCATGTTGATCGACCGCAGTACGCTGGCTGCAACCGCGGCAGCATCAGTCGTCCTGCTGGATTTGGCTGCGGTCGGACACCCGTCCCCATCGTCAGAGTCGTCCAATCGTTTTCGTTTGAATGGCCCACGGCCGTCGTGGCTATCAGCCACTGCTGACACGTCCACTCCGGAGTCTTCGCTCTGGTCGGTGGTCGGCGTGTGCGCTTCCCGCTTGATTGTCATGGTGGTCATCATCTCTGCGCCACACGACGACGATGACGTGTCGTCTGCGTGATGTTTTCCCGTATCTGTGAAACGTTAAAGAAAAAACAAATTATAATATAAATTAAATATCTAATAATAATTTAAAACACTTCTTGCTAGTAAGTTGTCACTTGCACCAGTTGATATTGTTTATTAATTTCACTTGCCCTTATCATCAGAGGTTTTTATTTGACCATTTTTTATTACATTACCTATATATATATATGTTACCGTCAATGTCGTAAATTCAGGTAATGATGATATTGACTAGCCAATTAATATAATGCCTTGGTAACTTGGTCATTATCTATAATCAACATATATTTGTAACATTGACTTGATAAATCAGACGATGTTATAATTTGATAGATTCACTAGTTATTATAACATATCCTATCTTCTTGTAGTCAATGTTATCTTTTATCGTTTTAACTTTAAAAACCCACGTGAAGATTAGGTATCTGTTTTATAACGAATAATAATAGGTATCTTTTATAGTATTAATACTCACGGCAACTAACCTATAACATAAGTATTGTTACAGCCTACGTTGTACTTTCGTATAATATAGTTTATAGTTTCGTATAGTTTTTCGTTTCGAAGTGTTGAATTGTTTTATTAAAAAATGAATTCAAATGAAATGCGTCAAAAATTTTACAACGCATTATCTGATTTATTGAAAAATAAACGTGAAGATAATATATCATTTTTAAACAAAGAGGAATATATGTTTCTTATATTTTTTTTTCATTGTTTTTTCTTAAATAGTAAATATAATATTATATTATATCTAAAATTATCAATGGCTACATAGTTTTAGTCAATAATGACAATGACTGCTCAATCATAGAAATTATGTATTAATATTAAATTTGTTCTATTATTGTCTATCTTAGTTAGGTATTCTTTAAAATGACTAGCCAATAATATCAATGCCTATGTAAAACAGTCAGTGTTAACATAGACTAGTCATTTTTAACAATACCTAATTATCATCATTGGCGGTAACATATATATATAGCTAAAACAAAAGTCAAATGTCTATAGGTTTGGTACATTTAAAACCCCCCTCCCTTAAACAGAAAAAATTGAGTCAGGCAAATAGGAAAAAAGTGTATTCATCAAAATTCTTTGAAAAATTGGGTTATTTGAGTTTGGTAATAATAATGTGTTTCATTAAATAAAAAAGTTATACTGTGTGAACACCAAAAGGGGTAACAATTTTTAAAATCATCTTCAATTGTCTATTTTGTGTTACTATATTTGAGTGAAACAAGCTGTAGGTACCTATATTGCTGTATACATGTAAATATTGTAATCACTGTCAGTCACCTTGGGGTAAATTCTGGTAGGTGTAAACTATACAAGTGCAGGAGGTATTGGCCAGGTATTTTGATCACATTTAGATATTATTTTCTACCACCGTGGCAGCCATACGCCCATACCTCCATAGGTACACAAGGTATAACGCGGTACAGGTTTGGTTTAAATTTGCCTTATGGCTGTTGCAGGTGTTTCGGAAACGTATTAATTCGAGTATAAATAGTGGTTTTGTTTTATTTTTATTTATCACAGCAGTATAATATAATATGTCTATATATTCATAACAATGCTCGTTGATTGAAGCGCATATTAAACGCAGTGCAGACCCACAGCTGGTTTGCATCAGCCTACATTTTTACAAAATGTATTAAAATATTATAATTATAAAGTACAAGCCTATACATCCAATTAGGTCGTTTTATGAGTGATGACAGACTAAACGAATTGGTTCTCGGATTTGTGAATAGATTATGTATAGACTATAGTCGTATAGGTATATATTCAAATTGGCTAAGACTGACAAAAATTTCCTTTCCGTTTTTTACGCAGATTTGGAGCTTGAGTCTGCCTGTCTACTTATTGTACTATTGTTGGCTGTTGCAAATGTTTAAGGTATGTACAATGTATATATAAATTGCTATGTATGCTGCTGCCGGCTTTACGTTTAATAAAATATGAATAAAATAAATATTCGCATATTGATAAAAGCGAACAATAAATTAAAATTAATTTTTTTTAATATTGCTTTTTATTCACAAACATTATATTGTTGTTATTATAAATCGATTTCATACAATTTGCAATAACCTTACAAATTATTTTATAGAGAATAAAAATTCTAGCTATTAAATTTTCTTATAAAGACAAAGTGAATAAAAAAATGCGTACTCGACATTGAATGTTTATTTTTCTAACAGAACTGAATTTTCAGCTAGTCCCGGTGTACCTAATACTTATTTTTCTGATATAGTATTATACTATAATTTATATATATTTTATAGTTGACATCAGGGACGTATTTAAGGAGGGGGTATTGGACCCATGCCCCACCCATTCATCGTATTTTATACTTTTTTATTACATTATTTTGAGATGGAAAATTTGAGTTATAAGTTATAACTAATAACTATGTACAATTTGAAATTATTGTTTGTGCCCTCCTTCAAAAGAAATTTCTAAATACGCTCCTGGTTTACATATTAAGTATCAGTCGTATACTTTGGAAAACCCGTTAACTGGTATAAAAGTTGTAGCTATATTGGATTAGTGATTTTATTATTTTGTACAGTGCGTCTGAAGAAAAGTGAGCCATTGAGATTACTACTCTACACTATATATCAGAAAACTATAATATAAACTGGATATTTTTAGGGCTATGCGCTGAGCTATAATTTTATTTACTTCTATTTTTCAATCAATAATAAAAAGGGTTTAAAGACTGTTGGCCGGGTGGGGTCGGTTGCCTATGATTTTGATGTAGAGATTTTTTTGTTGTTGTAGTATTCTTTACGCTATCGTAGATAATAATTATCATAATATTGCTATCTGTAACTGGTGTGTGTAAGAATGCGTGTGTGTAAGAATGCGTGTGTGTGAGCTTGCGTTTTCTGCTTATTTTCATTTTACCCTTTCTGCACTTTTTTTTTTACTATATAGCAGAACAATGTTGATCATACAATGTATAATTAGTGTTGGTATCTACAATCTACATAACACTTATTGATCGAATCACTTTAAACTAATCACTGGGGACTAGAATTATTGATGATTTCAAATTTTATATTTCATTAGATTGCAATCGTGTTTATAAAATATTATTTAAGACCAACTGATTTCACAACAAATTGCATGTATTCTGATTAAATAAGTCATGTGTGTCATATGTCATAAATCATAATATAATAGTACAGTAGACAGTAGTGTCTTTATATAAGTGGGTACTAAACACAAATATATAATACTAGGAATCCAGGAAATTTCTGATTACGCTACCGTAAATATGTGAATAATATATTATTGTTTGTCGGTACTTGATATTGAAATTTTATTTTGAACAGCTTATCATCAAACACGAAATAAAAATTGTATTGTATAGAACGATTTACATATCAAGTTGATATAGGTATGCTAAGTATATTAATAAAGATATTAATTTATAAATAGAATAAGTGGTAAAAGTAATTGCATAACATGTAAATAAAAAATGTCTACGGTTTTTGGTTTGTCGATTTCTTAAAACACCTTTACGATTTAATTGTAGGTATTAATGGGACACATACTAGTTGCGGACGAATTATTCAGGTTAGGAATTATAATATAACAATTGCGGACACGAGTTTCGTTGTCATAATACTAATTGCGTACAGAGCTTTTTTTAATAAAAACTACGTTAGTTGTGGACACAAATATTTCCCTTCACCACTTTTTCAGGACTTATGACAATAGCTAAAAAAAATTGGTAGGTGGGGTTAAAAATATTTGTGTCTTGCAAAAGAGCAATCGTTATTTTTAAAATTTTGTTGAATTATAGATTGTTTTAATTTTTTGGAAAAAATTGTTTATAAAATATTTATAGATTATCGTCATTATTAATTATTGTCATAGTTTTTAAAACAGTCTGTATATATGATATTCTACTGATTTCACCACGTGAATATTGTAACATTATCCGCAATTAGTATCTTATATTTGTGTCCGCAATTCGTATGTTACCTTTTTAGATTTCGTCCGCAACTCACATGGTTTTTGTCACTTTGTCCGCAATTCGGAAACACCGTATTAATGTATTATATTGACATTTGACCGGTGTCATTGGTTTATTTATACGGCTACAGCCTACACGTTTATCATATTATTTTTAACATGAAAAGTTAGTAGAAATATTGATACTTCATTATTAATTAAGCATTATTTAAGTACTTCAAGACTCAAGTACAGTACTACACACTACATGTAATTGGGTAGTATACAATTAAATTACGTAGGTACATGTATATTAGGTGTGTTTCCACGACATTATGTTATAATAATATTTTATACCAAATATAGGTGTTGGACATTGGTAAGTCACTAACTGTGCATCCGTATTATCATATAGACTGCAATAATTTTTCAAAGTGTAGACCTACGCACTTTAACACCGCGTATTTGACAATGTATGCAAATTGAATACAATATAATATGTTTGATGCAACATAAACAATGTTGGCATTATTCGACTTTTTTTTATAACAATAGGATTTTTGGTACTAAATGAAGATTCATTCATAAAAATTATTCCGTAGGTGTAACTGTGTAAGTTTATATATATTAGCCTATAAATCCCTGGTGGGCGTTTTAGATTTTTTTCTAGAACTAGGTGTGGTCTAAATCTAATGTTTTATTAGATAGGTACACGCATGAACAATTTGAGTGATAAGTCATCCGACGAGTTTTAAATGATGTACATATGACTGAAAATCATTGTCCATATTATAATACCGCCTATTATATACACCTACGGTTATTGATTAACGTTTGTGGTGAGGTGTTTATTATATTTCTATATTATTTTATTATTTAAAAAATATATTATATACTATAATATATTATAATAATTTTGGTCTATTAAATTTTAAGAGGAACAATAAATCCATTTAATCATTATTTATAAAAAAAAAAAGCAAAACATGGATTAATTATTAATTTGAAGAGATGAGTTGGGGTATATATTACATAAAATTAAAATTCCTATCATACCGTTTCTAAAGTCACGAATGGAGATGATTATTTATGAGATTCATCATTTATGTAGGGTTAAATAATTTAATGTTTGTAAGTAAATTTGGAAAATATAAGAATGTTAAATTCGTTATGTTTAAAAATGAAGTGTATATTGTGTACCTAGTAACATGTAGTATGTATACATAATCAATAACATATTAGTACTAAATGATCAATTATAATATTATATTATTATTCGGTTATTTGCCCATGACGGTATCTCTTTTAATAACAATCAACATCAATGTTATATACAGTAATAATCGTTTACAACTTACATAAATTAAATAATTCCGCTGCGTTTCCTTGCATCCTTAAAGTGTCCTTGCAAATGTCCGTAGTCAGTCTATTTTGCAAAAGCCCTTCTAATGATATGCGCGAAGTCACCATTATATTATTATTACTAAGTAAAGTCAGAACACAAATTTATCGATCGAACGACTTATAAATTTTTTTTAGACACTCGCACTTAGCGAACAATATTAATAATACCCAATGTAAGAAAAAAGGACTATTGAACAACCATGAACCGAACGCGTAGTCTTCTAGACCAGTACTGATGACTGGTCAGCAGCGCGCGGTACTGCGGTAGTCTTCGGGTCTCCGCCGCATTGTTCAGTTTGAACATGTGGTCCCCGTCCCGTCCCGCGCGCGCACACATCACACACATCACACACACACACACACACACACACATAATATATATATATATTGATATAAACAAAATTGTACATACAAACGTATGTATCACAAAAACATGTGTGTATACAATATTTTGATATCGTTTATCAACACTAATGTTGTCTTATTGTCTGTACATCAATTGACACAGAATATGTACATAGGCACATAGGTAGGTTATAACATACCAACTACCAGTGGTGGCGCATATAGGGGGGGGGATAGTGGGCCGCAGAAATTACAGTCGACTTGAATCATATAAAAACGTTAATAAAGGACTTCATATTTTATTTACTTATTTAATGTCTTGTAGCCTGTTGACAATTTGCCATCATTTATCACGGACAAGGTATGTGAATATTGTGAATTGAAAAATATGTTGCCAATAAAAATGGTTTATTCGCAATATCAGTATCTTGGATAATATAGAGAAAAGCTATCATAAAAAATTTACTTATAATATAGCTAGGTAGAAACTGATTAGTGTTTATAATATAACTTGTTTAGTTTAGGACGTTTAGGTACAGTAAATGTGAATTCATATAAATTCATAATTATTACTTTCTGATATTTAATTTTTATTTTTTATGGCTCTATAAATATTATATTATATCATATACTTACAATTTATCCATATAGGTTGTAATGGATTAATATCAAATTTTTGCTGACAAAGTTTGAGTTAAAATTAAAACAACTATAATTTTAACTTTTAAGTATATTTATCAATTTATCATCAAATAATTACCACCTGTACAGTGCCGCAACTTGGTACATATTGGTGTGTGTGCGATATATAGGACCCCCCACCCCCGACTAAGATTTAGACCCCTCCAAAAAATATTCCTTATTTATTTAGATATAAGCTGCTTATAGGCTATTTTAAATTAATAGTTTTGTTAGGTGGGCTGTTGCCTCCCAGAATTTTAACCCTAGTTGTTAGTGCTACCCTAGTACTAATAGGTCATTAAATACATATTGCTTGTTGTTTTTAGCTTTTGTTTCATACATTATATTATGTAATTAATATAGTATATACTACTCACAGATAGGTGAAGAGCACTGAACACATTGTACATTGTAGGTAGTGAGTAGTGACTGCACACAGATAGGTGAGGACTGAGGAGCAAAGTGGTAGACGGCCTTTCAAACCATTTATTTTCGTTCTTGTCCCAATTTAAATGAAATAAACCATCAGTCGTCAAAACAGCAAAATTAAGAAATTTAAGAATATGATATTGGTGGTATAATTCAGTACCCTGCCTTTCGAAATTATTATTTTTATTATTTTGTTATAATTTTAGTTAGGACTTTGTTTTATATTATAATAAATATTAAATAATAATAACTATGGTTCTAATGTATTCATTAGTTTCTATTTTTTGATAAAATAATAAGATAGTAAGATACCACTTTGTAAAACACCTTGGAAATAAAATATTTTATTATAATAATATTTTTTTGTAGACGTCTTATATGTGTCTTGGCGATGCGGGGTGCACGGCGATAACTGATAAGCATACTTGTCACTAGGCATAAGTTAATAATATAAATAACCTTCTATTTTTAAATAACAAATAAATATTTTAAAAGAAAAAAGTTTCAAATAATTTGGCCAAGGGCCCCGGGGCCCATTGTTATGATTTAACGGTGGCCCCGGGGTTCTTTGCACCCCTAGCTCCCCCAGTTGTTGCGGCACTGCGACCTGTAGCATAAGATGGTTTTCCTTTTTAGAAACTCTCGAATAGACATTGAATAGATGCTAGATCATTTCCTGTCTAATGTAGCTCACCCCAAAAATTACTTCTACATATGCCATACGCTACTGGTATACAAAGTGTTTTATTATTGCAGTGGTTAGCTCCCTCCTATTTTCCCTATAAAGTCCTCATCTACAACTCCTGAATCCAACCAGGCAATATTATTATTGCGCACTACAATTTACTGTTCAGTGGTCTTTATCCATACATTAATGATTAATCGTAAGTACTTGCCTATTACCTGTGTATACATGAAAGTGTATCTTATACCACACTATAAACTATTAAAGCTATTAAAGTATAAAACATTGTAAAAACCAGCAAAAAAAACATCTGGTTGTAAAAAGGTGTTAATATTAAAAGTATACAGACATACAGTAGGTAATTTAGTAAAAGTACCTAATAAGAGTGGAAAAGTTCAGGCCAAATATTGAATGGTTTAAATTTTGAAAATTTCCGGGGTTTTCTAGTACCTATGTGAAAACTCTTGAAAGTAACGTGTAATAAGGTGTAATGTGAGGTAGGTAGTATAGTTTTAGTCTCTCAATAAAATATCATATATAAAGGTAGTATATGCTGCAGTAGTGCATAAATGTATAATATACCTACTCTATTATAATATTTATAACGTATATTATATAATTTACATTGACAATGATCAGATGACCGTCAATTGGCTTCTGTATTGTGAGCTCTTTTAGATTAAGTTCAGAAATTGAATAACAATACATTACCTATTGAAAGTTGTATATCATTGAATTCATTTATTTTTTTTAATTTACTTTTAAAATATATTTTGTATTTAGGTACAGCAGTATATATACCCTTCACTATACCTATATATTGAGTATAATATTTTACACTAAGCTTAGAATCTATTATACTTAATAATATGTCTTGTACTACATACACTGTATTGTTTTATTTATAATCTATTATTTACACATATAATCATATTATTTTGATATGTATGTTACACCCCTTGCATGGTGGAATTCTTCGATGTTTCAATACTATAGTATAGTGGTTTGTAAAATATAAAGTACCTACCTACAACTAATATTCTCAAAAAAATTAAAAATTAAGTTATGTCTCTACAACAGTTTAATGAGTAAAATTGGTGAAGTTGAGCTGCTGCATAATATATTATATTTGTAAAACTGTCAAACGTGTACTTCGTTATTGAGTAGATATAACTGTAATGGATGTGTTAAATTTGAATTCAACAAAATCAATTATAAATCATTGCATACGAAAAAACGCTTCTGAGCGAAGACGGACTATCACTATCGACAGCCTATATTCCTATAAGAATATTTTTTTATACATTTATATCACTACCTACTCGCTATAGTCTCTATACTTAGATATCACCTTTAAGTAATTTATGTGTCTATAGTTATTACTAGGTAGGTTGAAATGGTTCACCTAATTTTTTCTAAAAATAAATCGTTTACAATATATTTTTTTTTTTTTTTAATTGATCAAGTAATAATTTACAACCCGGCATCTACTGCCATTAGTTACAGTTAAGTAGGTAAAGGAGTTAGTTACAATGGGTATACGTTATGACTTATGATAACATGTTCTGAAAAATAAAATAAAGGAAAGGTATACATAATTATTAGATTGAGTTGTATAAGTTGGTTGATTTTAAGAAGTCTAACATCTTGATATTGTCCTTGGTTTCTGGTCCTAGCGTGGTGTCGAGTGACGCGTCGATTCCGATCCTTTGTCTGTCGTGTTCGTACTTGAGGCATTCTGTTATTATATGTTTCACAGTCAGCCTTACACCTCAAACTTCGCATATGGGAGCTTCTTCCTTAGCCATTACATATCCGTGTGTTAATCTCGTTATAATATATTATTTCATATAATAATACATTAATACTATCAATTAACATACCTACAAGTCAAAATCGATGTATACGACGTATCGTGCGAACGAAATGAATAAATATTTTGAAAATGTTATTGTGTAAGTAGTGACGAAAAGATTACTAACTGAGTAATGTGATATCCTACAAATAAAATTGTTTCAATTATAACAAAATAACTAACATCATCATTTTCGGTTAAAATTTAATATCCAATTTTGTCAATACATTTGAACTTGAAATGTTCTGTATAACAACAATTTTACTGTGCAATGCATTTTCGATATTTTTTAATTACCTACTGTAAGTGTGAACATTTTACGAGGAACGTTGAATTAGATGTTTAAGTTTTTAACAAACATTTTATTATAGGTATATAAAAAAAGTAAAAACCTATAAAACATCAACAGTTTATATAATGTCTATAAATAGGTATAGATAGTAAAAAATATTTTATAATTATTTTTAATTAATTTAGAAAATTATCTTATACTTTTAGTAAATTCCACTTTTTGAATTGCAACAATGAAACAAAATTGATCTTGTTGAACACTGGCGTTCTTCTGACATAATAATATTATTAATTTTAATCTGTTTTTCTAATATTTATTATTTTTATTTTAATAATTAATTATATTTAATGCAATAATATAAAATTATTATAAATATGGAGGTACCGTCGCACACACCTGTTTCATTGACTCAATCAAATGTAGTTCTACTGTTGCCAAAAATATAAACTTAGTACATTTACGCATTTACCGATATACCTGCAACCTACTTTTAAAATCTGTGTGACAACGAGCTGACAGAAAAGATTTCAACAAAGATTTGAATTTTTTCATACTTTTGTAAAAAATAAAAAATAAAATAAATGTTGACACATTTATAAAGATGACATGTCCTACCTTTTAGAATAGTTTAATATTTTTATTTCAACACATTGTGGCTGTGGAATTTTGTTTTAAAAACAATATTATTGGTTTAAAATTATTTTAAGTGTTGGCTACTTGGCTATAATATATAATGACCTCATTTTTACGGGAATAACAAAATATCTGATACATGTGTA